GGAACTAACTTGCTTTAATAGTATACTGAGAGTTCGAGGGTCCATATATTATATTGCGCTATTAAACAGGGGACGAAAAGTACGCAAAAAATCATATGCTTATCGATCGAGTACGTACTTTCATCCTAGGCGACAATATTCTATATATTATATCATCGATTATACACGTTTTAGCTGGTTTCTAAGGTGTTTTTATATAGTATTGAGTAATTTAGGTATGCGGGCGTAGTAGGCTAAATACGAATCTGATAGACTAACCTTAATGCTAAGAATCTGTTCCTACCGGTAGTGTGCTTGTTACGGAGTAAGGGATAATATTATTCTATTAGCGAGAGGTCTTCGTAGCTTTAAATATTAAATAGAACCAGGTTTATTCAAGAAGTAAAAAGTAGAATATTAAGTAAACTAACTTTTTTTAGTACTAATAACTCTTAGGTAAGATTATATTCTATCTTTACTAATTGTTTGTGTAGTTTTTGTAAATTTGTACCTATATCGCTCGGTTTTCGTTCTCTTCTTGGAACGAACTTAACTCCGAAACTATCACTAGAAATCGATGGCAAAACTTCTCTACTGACTAGTGTGAAAGATTTACTTCAAGGGATGGTGGGGAAAGGCTCGGAAACTTACTATAATCCGGGTGCCGGCTGTCACGAATCACGTGTTAGCATGTGACGAGTGAAGACCAGGCGGCGTCCTGACAGGTTAAGCACTATCATGCTCTTATAGCGAATAGGGATCGGCTAGACTAGCTAAGCGATCCAAGGATTTCATCATAGTCACGTGACTGATCTTTGGATCTGGATGGATCTTGGGGATCCTAGGATCCAACCAGATCCATGAGCAAGAAGGTTCTATATAACACTGGCATGTCTGCCATTAGATAGGAGCTTCGTGCTCAACTTAGTTATCAACTTAGTTATCAATCTTATCATATTAGTTTGACATCTTTGATACAAGTAACGAGTTCACTTCCAAGTGAACAACCCGATAGTTGTCACGAATCACGTGCACACGTGATAAGCGAAGACCAGGCGGCGTCCTGACAGGTCAAGCACATCTATAGACTTATAGCAAATAAGGGATCGTTTGGGCTAGCTAAGCGATCCAGGGATTTCCTT